CGCAAACTTAGGATGGATGAAGTGACCTTTCTTTTAAACTTCTATTCAGAATGTTGTCGATGTAGAGATTGTTTACCCTAAAAAACAGAAAAGAAAGAAACATACATTGAATTGCCTTATTTTAGTTGTACAACAAAATTCCTTCTATGTATGTAACAAAATCTTAATACATCACAGCTTAAATGTGCAAAGCGAATATCATTATTTACACTGTACGCACAAAAGTCGTTACCAGGCTTTCATTTTGTCAAGCGTTGCTCATACATGTATCCTTCCAACTGCAAAAATGTTTTAAATAACACAAACATTTATTTATATTCTAGAATTTTTAAATTAAAAAAATCGATTTTAATAAAATACAAAATCTAAAATTTATACGTTCTCTAGTCCTTATATTTAGAAAATTTTGTATTCGTTATAGAAATTAATAAGCCAAACATTTGACTAACGTACAATAAAAAACTGATCGAAATATTTAATTTTACAACTTGCAATTTTAATGTCATTTTCAGTTTGCATAGAGGGGTTGATTACTAGATAAATTAGAATAATTTGAGGTTTATGTTTTCCTCTTAAATACCTTCCAATGATATTCATTTATGATTCGCTAGTGTCTTTAATTTTTAATTTTGTTACATTTGGTACGCCAAAGGAATTTTCATACAAGTAATTTATAACTTTTCAAAGTAAAAAAATACGTTATTGGTATTATCGATGAAGTTTTATTAATTTAGAATTATAATATAGTTATCATACAAAAAATTCATTAAACTAGAAATTATTATTAATTTTTAGTTAAGGCAAATAATAAAATAAGTTAAGTACGGGCAATATTAGTATCTGCCGGTATTTTGAGGAAGTGAATGTTATAAGATCCTGTGGATAAGATCTCATTTCAAAAAAACTTACATTGATCAATATTTTTCATCAAGGTCTGCATAGAAATACCTGTTACTTAATCTCTTAGTATCAGAAACATATTTTTAAACTGATATTTTATTTTAGTTACGAACATATGCAAACATTTTGCTCTTACATTTGTGTACGGCCCCTGAACATGATGTCTGACTTTAATATCAGGTAGATGTGCCAATTTTTGTCATATACGGGAGTCACACATGTTTTGTGCTTTACTTTTTATAATGAGAACAAAGTTTTCTTAAATTTAAATATAAGAACTGGAGGAACGTATGAAAATTTAGATTTTGTAAATTTTACAAAACTGATTTCTTTAAATTGAAAAATGCCAAAAAATAATTTTGGCGTCAATTAAAACAGTTTTGTGTTTGGAAGCATATATCTAAGAAAAACGGCTGAGAAAATAAAATATCAATGCAATGTGGTGGATGTGGTGATGTGGGATAAGTGGGATGAGAGGGTGTGGTTAAGGACTTTTGTTTATACGGTTGTATTAGCAGTTACCTATTTTAACCACTGGTGCCTGGGGAATTATGCTAGCATCAATGAAGCTAATACATAGTTTTAGAAATTAAATAAAAAATATATTTATAAATAATTCTTTGTAATGTTGCGATTTCCATTTATGAACCATTAAAATCTTAAAATCTGGATGTATTATTTCTGGCATCTAATTATTGGCTGGTTCTTTACAACGCCCTTTAGTGATTAAGTCAGATTTTTTTTAAATTCCAATTTCGTGTTTCTTTTCTTAAATGATGCTATTATTTAATTATGTCTGTAGTCCTTACTTGCATATTAGCTTTATTAAATAATAAATATGAAAAACGTCTGACATTTTTAGCAGTAAATTGGAAGAATAAAACTCATTCAACTTTCTTAAAACATTTTTTGCAGTTAAAATATCCGTACAGCTTTTCAACATTTCCTCGAAAAAATAATTAAAATTGTAAGAGCTTGATAGCCTTTGTACTTCATAAACACGTTGCCTCGTTTGTAAAATCTAAACTGATCCATCAACTAGACTTTGTAATTAAGACATTTTTTTCGGGGGGGGTCTCACCTATTCCACACGTTTCAAAGTTATATGTTTTCACACTTATTTTTCCATACACGCGTGACGTTATTTAAAGCTCAAAGAAGTTTCTAACAGTATTAGTTTGTACATCTTGTGCAAAGTTTTACATTTCTCGGTAAAATGATTGCAGTTCTATTGACTAAATTAATACTTTGCCTACGTATGTAAATCAATGCATGAGTTGTTGTTAGCATGATTGAGACGTTTTTCATATTCATTCTAAATGTTTTAATGTGTTTTTCACATTTATTGCTAAGTTATAAATATAGAAAACATATAGCATATTTTTAAAGATTGTAAAAATTTCTAATAGCACTTGCGTTTATACACTGAAGTGACAAAAGTCATGGGATAGCAATATGCAAATATACAAATGGCAGTAGTATCGCGTAGAAAATGTATAAATGCGAAGTGCTTTGGCAGGGCTTTCATTTGTGTTCAAGTTATTCATGTGAAGAGGCTTTGACGTGATTATGACCGTAAGACGAGAATTAACAGACTTTGAACGCGGAATGGTAATTGGAGCTAGACGCATGGGTCATTCTATTTCGGATATCGTTAGGGAATTCAACATTCCGAGATCCACAGTGTCAAGAGTGTGCCGAGAGTATCTAATTTCAGGCATAACATCCCACCATGGACAGCGCAGTGGCCGACCACCTGCACTTAACGACCGAGACCAGCGACGTCTGCGTAGAGTTGTCAATGTTCACAGACAAGCATAGCACTGCGTCAAATAACCGCAGAAATCAATGTGGGACGTACGAGGGACGTGTCCAATAGGACAGTGCGGCGAAATTTGTCTTCCTTGGGCTATGCCAGCAGAAGACCGACTCGAGTGCCTTTACTGACAGCACGACATCGCCTGCAGCGACTCTCGTGGGCTCGTGAACATATCGGTTGGTCCCTAAACGAATGGAAAACCGGTGGCTTGGTCAGATGAGTCACGATTTCAGTTGGTAAGAGCTGATGGTAGGGTTCGAGTGTGGCGCAGCCCCACGAAGCCATGGACCCAAGTTGTCAACAAGGCACTGTTCAAACTGGTGGTGGTTCCATAATGGTCTGGGCTGTTTTTACATGACATGGACTTGGTCCTCTGGTGCAACTGAACCGATCATTGACTGGAAATGGATACCTTCAGCTACTTGGAGATCACTTGCAGCCATTCATGGACTTCACGTACTCAAACAACGATGGAAACAACGATTTATGGATGACAATGCGCCATGTCACTGGGCCACAATTGTTCGCGATTGGTTAGAAGAACATTCTGGACAATTCCAGCGAATGATCTGGCCACCTAGATCGCCCGACATGAATCCCATCGAACATTTATGGGACATCATCAAGAGGTCAGTTCGGGCCCAAAACTCTGCACCGTCAACACTTTCACAATTATGGACGTCTATAGAGGCAGCATGGCTCAATATTCCTGCAGGGGACTTCCAACGACTTGTTGAGTCCATGCCACGTCGAGTTGCTGCACTTCGCCGGGCGAAAGGAGGACCGACAAAATATTAGGAGGTATCCCATGACTTTTGTCACTTCAGTGTACATTATACAGTTATTTTACATCCTCAAGAGCGTAATAATGAATATATAGGGGAGCTAGGAGCGATTTGTAGCAGGAATAAATAATAACACTCACGTTACGCAGCAATTTAAATTTTTTTTCAGAATTTTTATTAAAAAGGATTTTTACGATGGACCCTATTACGAAAGCACAGTCAATACCCCGCCAAAATGAACAGTGAAAGGTTGCATTCACGTAGCCCGTTTGAACTAGTTAATGGTTAAAAAATATTTCTTAAATTTTGATTTAAATTCATCATTTATGTTTTTAAAATGGTTTTTCCTATCTACTTTGCCTATTCATTAAGTTTTAAAATGCTGCTCTAATTTTGTTTACTAATATCAATAATTTTTGTAAATCAACAAAGATGTCCGAAACCATATGATGGGGTAACCTGTAATAAAATCTCGTGACTAGTTGTGACGTACTACAACTTGTCTCCAGATTTTGATTCATGTAGTTAGACTTTCTTCTTTAAATGTTAACATAGAAATTGTTTATTCTATTATGTTTTCTTTCTCAAACTATAAAAACCCATTTTAACCCTCAAAGATTAGACCTCTTCCTCAGGCTTCACCTCGGAAGCAGTCTAACATAGTCTGAAGCAAAAGGAAATCTTCCATCCAAAGTGACATACTTAAAAAAAGAAGCACTGAAAAAAAAATATGAAGAGCTACTTAATAAGAAACAAAGGTACGGGAAAAGGAAATGTTAAGGAATAATATCCAAAACGAAAATAAAGAGATAAAATTTTTGAAGAAGAGGAATTTGAACTTTGATACAGATTCTGAAACAGAAAAGTGGGTCTGAATAACTTGCAAAAATGCTTACAACTCTAATGAAAAAAAAAAAATGAGCGCAGCACTTAATTTCAAAAACGCGGCCAAACGTTTAAATGTGTGAGCGGGTAGAATCTATCATTTGTTTGTGTTAACTTAAACTCTGATGAAGGCTGACTATAAAGTTGACTGATTAAATAATTTTATCTTTGTTTTAATATAAACCACTTGATATCATTCAGTATCACTATATGAAGTAATAATTACCACCAAATATTTTTCAAATACTGTCATTTCTAGTGTAACAGAAGAATAGTTTGGGTAAAATATTTTTTTGTACTAAAATCAACAAAACTGCTAAATGTTTATTTTGTCAATATAATGAACGGACAATTATGCTATAAAAACAGCAGTTATAATCAAGTAATCTTAAATGTATTTCAAAATATATAAACATTTTCTCAAAAATTGTTACAACTAGCCCGAAGCTCCCCTACTAAAGTGTAAATGGTTATCAGTTAAATATATTTATGAAATGTTGGTAATAGAGAATCAGTTTCATATTATTATATTACTGTTACTTAGAATCTATTGGAAGGCTCCATAAATTATTTGTATTGTAATAATGAATTAAATATTGGTATTTATTCAGGTCTTTTCAATTCCCTAGCTGCGTATCCGACTCCTTTTGGCCAATTCGGCCAAGCCCTAACTCCTCAGCCTGCCGTAGTCACCCAGACTCAGAGAGAAGGTACGTACATTCCTGGTAAGCATCAAATTCATTTATTCTTCCATCATTCAATCAAAAATTACGTTTTATGAAATTTCAATACATATACTTTTTTATCTGTCATGAGTTACAATACAAGGTGACATTTAAAAATCTGGCAATCTCTGGACCTGAGGAGTGCCATAAATTTAGAATGACGGATTTCTTCTTGTTATACATTACTGCATATATTTAACAAAAAATAACTACCTGTGTAGTATATATTCTTTTAAAGAAAGAAAATAAATGCTAATGAAATATTAATGGTCACCAACTAAATAAAGCAGTTTTACAGAATTTTAACTCAACAAACTAAAATAATTCTACAGAATTTTAATGCGACTAAATAAAATATTTCTTAGGGATTTTAATCAAATAAAAAACGATTCTCAGAAATTTAATCATAACTGTATGCAATCAACATGAAATAAAGTAATAGATAAGCTGTCATGATGATTATCTTCATGACTGAGAGTAACAGCGACTTCAGTACCAGAAATTGCTTCTGTTTGCGAAGGAAATTTGTATGGTAATAATAGGGTATTTGGCTGACCTTGAACTTGTTAGATAGTGTGCCGGATATGATATGATACTGCTGCAATGTTCATGCCGTTTATGCTCGTACAAGATCATTTTATACAGATTTCCTTCGTTTTAAGGAAACGCAGAGCTCCTGTGAAACATTTAGTAAGCCGAATTGGCGAAAAACGGAGAAGTTATTACCATTAATTTATAAGAAATAAAGAGCGTTGAGCGTTTCCTGCCCTTCAAATAAAATCTATCCCGTCATATTAAATTGCATTTTAAATCTAAACTAGGTCTAAAACAAATAATCGTGTTTGAAATATACAGTACATATGAATAAAAATAACATATATATGCTGCAGTTTCAACCACGGAAACTGATAAAGACAAAAGTTAATGGCGATGACCAGGGCCGGATTTACGCATAAGCTACACATGCTATAGCTTAGAGCCCCCACATTTTGCAGGGCGCATAAAAAATTAAAATATAGTACAAATAGTATGAAAATATCTTATAGCAGAATTATAAAGGTCTCCATATCTCAAATAGCTTAGGGCCTTATCAAGTCTAAATTTGGCGATGGCGATGGGTTATCCAGTCTTCGAAATCCGTTAATGAAAGATAATAGGCCTGAGATGTAAAAAAAGAGGATAAGGATCAGATGTATCGCTACTTGTACTCGTAAGATTCACTGCATTCACAATTTTGATATCTGCCTGAGTAGATAACGAAAGTGGAATTCTGTCGTGCGCCCCTCACCGCGAAAGGCCTTTGTCTGCAAATATGAACATTTTTTTTCTCCTGTATAGCTATCACAGGTAATTGAAATATTTTCCAGAACATGTGTAACATATATACGAACCATTTTGCCTTTGAAAGTCCTCCACAAAGGCATTTCTCCTCTTATGCAGATAGCCCTAGTGTGCTTTGCCATAATCAGCTAAGCCAAGCCCTCTTGAAGAAACTGCCTTTATCTGGTAATTATAGGTTTTGCAACCAGCGCTTAAGAAATGCTGAAACCTAGTTTTGCTTTTCACCTTTTTTGCTAAAACGTGAAAGCCTTCTTCGTTCTTAAGCCTTCTTCGTGAAAGCGTACTTCTTTCGTTAGGGGACAACAAATTTATATCATTCCTAAAAGGGAAATCTCATAAAATGGAAGAAAATATATTTTACTTATTTACATCACGCAAATTGTTCTAATTAAATAAAAAATTTTGAAGAAAGGAATTAAATATCAATTACAAAATTTCCTCATGTCAAATAAAGTATTTTAATTTGCAATTCTTTACTATGGAACATTTTCTAAAAAATTTTAATTTAGAAGCATCGTGTTAAGTAACGTTCAGTGTGAATTCTCTAGTCGAAAGGAAGTAAGCTTGAGTTCTCGGAATAATTAAAAAGTAATTCATGTAATACCCTCCCCCCTCCCCTACTTAAGCGAAAAGACTAAAATTTTTGTGCTCTAATTAAGATTCATCCTGCTGTTAGCAAGCAAAAGTAATTTCTATCTGAATTTTTAACCCAAACTGTATAAGTGCAGTAAAATTAAGCAAATTACATTTTAATTTAATGAGAAAATTTCTGAAAAATTTAAAAGTTGTATTTTTTGTACTAAAACGGTTAATGCTTATATTAAATTGTTTTCATATTCACAAATAGATAGAGACATATTGCATTAATTTTTTGTGTTTGAAAATTACACAAACTACTAAATTAATTACATGTAATTTAACAAGTGACATCGTTAATTTAAAGCTAAAGACGTTAAGGTAACATTCTTTTAAAGAATTCTTAATTTCTTTTTGTGTTTCCTTGCATCTGAAATATTTCAGAGAACTTTTTAGCTTCTTCAGAATTCATATCACTAAACTAATTTTAATAAACAAGCATAACTCAATTCTGTCTAATTATTATACAGCTTCAAAAATAGTTCATAATCTTTTGTAATTTTGAAATTCATAGTTAGCAATAATCGCACTGAATTTCGGAGAAAATTATATAATTTAAATTATTCAGTTAGTATATTTGATATGTATTCTAATATGTTTGTTCTTTAACCATTATGAACTTTTAAACAAATCGAGTCTTTTTTTATATCAGCGGGGTATTGAAGATGAATTCTCGTCGTTATTTTTCAGTAATTAGTGTGGAATACTTCAGTGACAGACAATTTTGTTTCAAGCAACAATTCTATTTTCCAAAGGGCGATGGAAAGTATTGCTTTCAATACTCTTCTGTAGTTACTGAAAATAATGATTACATATTATTTTAATTCAGATTTTAAAAAGCAATAATAATATATACAAACTTTTCGAAAGATGTTATATTACACCCAAAGGAGCATTTTTTTAACGTTTAGTGTGTTTCCTTTATTTATTAAACAGCATGTTCGCACTTAAACCATAAAATTCAATTCAATATTTAAAAAGAGTATATCTTTAGAATTTTCGATGCTGAAGTGACATCGTTAATATTAAAGCTAAAGACGTTAAGGGAACATTCTTTATCTCGCGGGCGGGTAACATTCTTTGTCTCGCTATCTTTTATCGCGATAAAAATAATTTTTCCATAATGTTGCCATGCCTCACTTTGATATCGTTGAGTTTGTTAACCAAAAATTCGTTAAAGTTTTACAAAATGTGAAATAGCTAATAAAGCAAAATTTAAAATTCCATATTTGGGCTTCCAGATGTCCATATCCCAGTGGAGGACTACGTTATTCAAAATTTGATGTCTCTAGGTACCGTTGTTTTTTCACAGTGCGAGAAACATAACATACATACATTCATGCAGATTCTTCATTATTTAATTTCTTTAAATATAACACAAGTCTCTAATATTTGGTGGCAACAATTTAAAAAGTGAAACTCCGTTTTATAGTGGACGACGCAAAATGCCGATACGAAATTAATAGTCCTTCTGGAAAAACTGCCTTTTTGAGCTAAAAAGGTTATTTATGAAAATTTTAAAACAAAAATCATATAAGAAGTTGAAAATTTCATCAAGGCCATTATGTATTAATTTGTTTCATTAAAATGCATTCTTAATAACGGTGAGATTAGGTTAATCGATTAAGGCAAAGCAACTCGAAAGCTATCTACCTATGGGGAGGGATATAATATTTGTGGAGGATTTTATAAGAAAACTGACTCGTATCTGCGTTACACAGGGAGAAATCATGAAAATACCCAAATTTCAAATGGGATGAGTTAAAACTATTTCTTTTCGCGAATGCTATAAAGGTAATTTTATATTCTCATTTGCGCAAAAGAGGTATATTCATTTACATAATTGTGTTACATTTTACAAGGTACATAAGAGGGGGTTGTATCACTTAATAATAATTAACAATTTCACGAGTAAAATTCCAGTTAATAAATTTTCTCATGAAATTAACATTTAATTCTGTTTTCTAGTACTGTTGTTTGTATATATCTTCTTAGCGATCAATAACATTAGAAATATATATCGAAAAATGCAACTATGGTTATCAAAAAATGTAGTTATTTGTTAACTTACGTTGTTTAGTATTATTGACTTCCAATAACCTATTTATTTTCTAATGTTATTATTGTGTCCTAATAACGGTATGTAGTTTTAGATACTGTTGAATAATCTTCAATTGAAAAATTCAAGACTATCACATTGGTTTAAAAAGCGATTATCATGTTGGCCTGATATACTATTTGCATACAGTCCGACTACTTTCAGTGTGACAGACATGACTAAAATTGCATATGGATAGGCTTTAATCACAATGCAGCTTTCTAGAAAGCATTTAGGAAGAGGTTACCTTCCAGATAAAAATAAATAGTTTTGAAAATGAGTCTGCTTGAAGCATCTTAAAAATCTGCATATGCATCTTATTTTTACAACTATTTATTCTTCACACGAAAGATAAATACTTTTTTACTAATGGATCCAGTATACTGAGCGCATTATAGCTAATAATAAATCACAATGAAAAATTAAATAATCGTTATTGAAATGCTGTATAAGACTTTCTCGAGAAAATTCGTTATATTTCTTTTGAAGCTAAATTTTGCATGGTCACAAAAAGAACCGAGATGCTTCTTTCGTGTATTTCTTTTATTTGCTTCATAGGTCCGGAGGGATGCAACCTCTTCATTTATCACCTCCCCCAAGAGTTTGGTGACGCCGAGCTCATGCAGATGTTCATGCCCTTCGGCAACGTCATCAGCGCCAAGGTGTTCATCGACAGAGCTACCAATCAGAGCAAGTGCTTCGGTAAGAGAAACTCCATTCTGAACTATCGCCCATGCTTTAGATATCCTTCATTAAGGCTTACATACTTCTAAGATTCAATGTTTTCTTTATTTAACACGAAGCAACACATATTCCATAAATTATTTCTATGGTCCTTACACATTTTTGATAATGTGCTTAATTATTAGTAGTAGTATAAGAAATAAATATGTATTTGTTAGAATAGGTTTGATTAAATATGATTGATGACAGTGATTAAAATTCTTGCATAATTTTGTTAATAAAACTAGCATGTTGTTATTTCGGACAGTTACAACTTAATGTATTAATCGTGTGGCCAATATCCAACAGTCACTTAGCCGTCTCATAACCGAGACTGCCCAAGTTGCATCACAGGGGGCAACCGATAATGTTGTGCGAGGGCAGGAGGTTCCGTCCCAATTTTGATGGAGAACAAACTGGGGACGGGAACCCCAGGGTCTCCTACCCTGCTTTCCATACCAAAATCCTCTCGAGAGGACTTTCGGCTCACCAATATTTTAAGTGTCCCGTGCCACACAATCTCTTACAAACAATCAAGCCTTCTCCAGGATTTGAATCCAGGTTCAACGATACAGCATCCAGCAGCGCTAACAACTATACCCAGAATGGCAGTACAAAATAATATCATTAAACCATTTCCAGGGCATTATTTTCTGATTTCTTCAATATAGAGAGTATGAGGTCGTTCGTGAGAGTTTGTTCGTTTGTGAATTGATTTCGGAATGAGACTAAGATATTTCTGAGCAATAATCGTTACGAAACATTCTTATTTTAGTGCTCATATCTTTTTAAATAATAACTGCATGAACATTTTTTGAAAGATTAACAAAGAACCTCTCTAAGATACCTCACTCTATCAATAGGATCACGAGACAGTAACTGTATTATGGTATGGTAAAATACTGATACTTCATATGGCTTATCCTTGCCCTGTCCTATGCATTAAATTCCATTAGTCCATTTATTTGTAATTTAAGTTGTCGTATAAGTGACGGTTTCAGAACTGTTAATCGCCCTATTTCATCTATATACACAAGTAAAAAAATACGTATCAATAAAGTAAAGGTATGATAGTGGTAAATAAATAATAAAACTTTCAACCAAAAAATGATGAAACTTCCTATTTAAATAAATACCATAATGATCTCATTTTTAAAAGTTTCACATGGAGCAACTTCTTGCGCTTTTCATTTTCAAAACGTAAGAATTTGCGAAACTAAATTTGGCTGTAATTTCATTAGAAAATTTGATGCAATTGGAAGGATTGGTCATTTTCCTCAACAACATAAATTCTATGCTCATAGGCTCATCGGCTTATTTGATTTCCAATATAATGTCACTCATATCATGGTGTAACCCACTGAAGGCAAACGAAATAGAGAATAAAAGATAAATTCATAAAAATTATGCAATAGATATTTAGAAAACGATAAGATATAATTAGAAGTATCGATTACAATTGGCAGAATTTTTACGAATATGAAATGCTTCCAACAAACAGTTCCACTTCCAGTTTTATGAGAATTTTAGAAAAAGAACTTAAATAATAACAAAAAGACCAAATATCACTGACAATTTGAAGTTTTTTAATTTCTGTATTCCGGACATGAGGATTATGTGATTAATTTCATCTTTTATTTTTGATTTAATTGCATCAATTATTCGAAATCTTAATCTAATTTAATTTGTGAGCTGATTTCCTTCTCTAATCTTATTTCTTTTAATCCTTTTAATATTCGATACTACAAGTGGTTCTTTTAATTAGCCTTGATGCAGATATGAGTTCTATTTGAATTCTGTAAGGTTAAGAGTAACTAAAAATCGAATTCATAACGTTTTGCATTTCTTACTTCAGTTTATATATTATAGACTTTTATATCCCGTATCATATATATTCTAATATGTCGTGCATTTAACCCAGCTAAGGTGCTTAAGTACACATTACTCTATTTAGCACGGTTTTATTAAAGAATCATAAGTAAGAATAGCTATGAAATCTTTATTAAACAATTTAGAGAGTATACTTAATTCAAGTAGAACACAGATCAAAATTAACAGTCTTCACAAACATTTAAATTGACGTACTGAAAAACGAACTTACATGAGACTCATTTATAAGTTTGAAATACCTCCAAGCTTACTTATTAGGCAATAATATCAGGAGTGTATTCCAAAAAAAGAAGATAACATGGTTGAAAAAGAAAATTGTAGACTCAACAATGCAAGTACAAAGTCGTTTTAAGACTTCTGCATCAAAACATAGAACCTTCCTTCTCCAATATATCGTTTAGCTCTCGTTTGTTTTTTGACAAACGTAATGAATGAGTTTTTTGCCGAGTTTCATTACGTATAAGTGTTACTAATTTATACTAATAATATCAACATTAATTATTCACCTGAGATATTCAGTCTAGTTATTCCAATGATGCCATTTGTCCACCAAAAAATTATCTTCAGTAAATGAAATCCTACTATCCTAAAACTGAATGTATTATGACAAAAACGAGATAGGCATTTTAGAACACAGTGAAACCTCCCGTGACAACCACCTCCCTAAGGCTACTAGATGTAAATGTGACTAGTATTTCTGAGATCATAAATAGACATCGGTACTGATTGAAATCATACGTTTTTACGTTACATAAAAAACACAATAAAAGTTTAATATACAAACATTAAATTCAACTCTGCTTAACGAAATTTCAATCCTTGAATAAGAGAAGGAATCACGTTCCTTGAAGTTGGTATTTCATATCACGTGCATGCAAATATGAGCTTGAAAAACTAAGTCTTTAAAATCTGCCTTCCTTTTAAAAGGGGGTCTGCTTTCACTCGAAAAGATTAAATCCGAAAGCTCTAACTTAAGAGGATTTCTTCTCTCTTTAACAAAATCAGCATTTCATTAAAATCCTGCTTCGCTCGAAACATCTTGAATTAGTCGGAGAATTAACACGACATTTAAAGCAATACTCTCCTGCCCCAGTAATTTTGTTTCGACAGCCTTAAAAGTTCGTTTCCGGATCTACGAATGTACGTCTACGTCCTTAGCAGAAGGCATCTTAGCAATTTAATCTGTAATCTGTTTACTACGCTCCACTGTGCCATTCGCAGAATAATTCCGAAGTACAATGTTAGATCTGCTAACACCTAACTCAGAAAAGCAATTGTTGCAAAAGATAATCATTATACTTAAAGCTTGTGGTGTATCTTGTAGCGAAATAACTCCCTACTTTCGTTTCGTTTTTGAACATTCTGAGTATAATATGTTTCAGAGTTACTTGCATCTCTTGTCGTTTTAATTTGGTTTTAATTGCGAGATGACGTTGAGTCACCTATTATCGCAAATTAAGAACTGGCATTAGTTGCTTAATTTTAATGTCAGTATTTAAATTAAACAGAATACAAAAATAGTTAAATCCAAATATTCTCTACATCCATTTAACTAGCTTTCTAAAAACCTTTATTCGACATATGCATATCCATGTTATTAAAAATGTAGAATTCGTTTCATTTAAATGATGCTTTGCGTTACATCTGTGCATACGGACAGAATAAAGGACTCTTTTTCCCAAAACGGTTTGTGAAATGGATTTAAAATGGATTCTGAAGACATATCTTCGTGACGTCTGCACGTACGTTTGTATGTATCTTATAAACCTCAAAAATGAGTTGCCTCAGAACATTGAAATTTTGAATATAGGACTGTTATAACATGTAGATGAGCATTTTCCTTTTTAGTTCCAATCGGCCGCATCAAAAGAGTATATACCCACTCTGTTACCCGGTTCGGTGAGCTAAGTTTTTTTACTCATATCTGTTGGTAAATTGTGCATTTTTTTAAACGTGAATGAATTATATTGTTTTTATGTTCCGGTTGAGTTTTTTATGCGTTTAGTTAATCTGCTTACAACAGCTGTAGAATAGTCAACAATTTAAAAGTTGTTTAAGTTACATTAAGCCTAATTACACCGCCAATTGTTTACATTTGAAACTTAGTAGCGTAGTGAATTCAGTTACTGCTCCAACTTCAGTGTCTTTTTGCCGAATGGAGCCAAAGGTTTTGTGCACCGAAAAATCTGTCTTTCCACCTGATTTTAATGATTTAAATTTTAATTGCATTTTAAAAAAAAATTTTAACCGCTTTTAACTCTGTTTGGTGTTTTAGGTTTTTCTGTATTTTACAATTTTTAATGAAGATGTGTTGAGTTTTTATGTATTTTTTCCTTGCCATGAAGTGAGAACTGAATTGATCGAATGAGAAATATATTTCTAATGAAATTCTGGGAAATACGTTTAGACGAAATGCAGCAAAAAATGTGCATAATTTAATAGGCCATACAAGGAAGTCATGTGGTATCCACATCAATTTGTTTTCCTTTTGTACTACATAAATATATGTTTATTAAAATAATGCCTTATTGAATGAATAAGGTGTCATACATTAGTGTCAAGTAGTTCACACTAATAATTTTCTTTATCGCTGCTGAATACAGCTAAAAGAGAACGATTTCTTTCAAGTAAGTTATTCTTATATCTCCAACATTTTTCTCCGTCATTTTGAAGTTTATGCTATACCCTTTTTTTCAGAAAATAAATCCTCATTTTTGTATGTTTTCGTTTTCTTTGTGGATCTTTATAAGTTTTGTAGTATGTAGCTAAGTATTTGTGAAGTTCTGTCTTAAATTGTGAACTTCTTCTAGTAGAAAGATCCGTATTTTGAAAGATGCATGCTTTTCAATGGTAAGAAAAGAATTCTTCTCTTCAGTGGTAGGAAAGAATTCCAAATATTTGCTGTCTTTGCGCATTTCTGGACCTTTTTAGAATTATATGCTGAACTTTAATATTTTCATCTCTTTTTCGTACAGAAACAAGTTTTGGATACACTTGATTTTGTTTGACCTTCTTTCTGATATGTATTGCATATCATAGTTTAAATTAAGTTTGTTTAATAGTTGTGTTCTCAAACGACGTTAGAAAGA